TGTGTGCCAAATACATTGGTCAGCAGTTCTGTTAAGGCACCAATCGTCCTTTTCATGTATTTTATTCTAGTAGCTGTACCTCCCCCGGAAAACTCTTTGGGATCAGAAATTGTGTCTTCCTCCTATTTAGGTCTCAAGTAAGCTGTTCACATAGGTAGTGCTCAAAACAGTTTTGTCGAAGTAAATTACATTTTTAAAAAGGAAATAAAGGAAAAGTTGTTTTCATACTTTCAAATTCTAAATAAATAAATAAATAAAATGAAGGGGATTAATGATGACATGGAGAGGGGACAGTTTCAAGAGATAGTAAGAGAAAGATCTCCAGAACTTGATGATACTATATATCACATTAGGGAAGGTGGGTCAGGGAACGCTGACACAGACAGCGGGGCGAACGATGGTACCTATCCCTGAGACAGGGAACAGGAAGAAGGAATGAGTTTGAAAGGAAGCACATCAATTCAGCTACAGAAAAGATAAATTTGAAATGAATTTGAAAAGCATTCAACAGGTACCAAATTGTTCTGGAGACAGGAGGAAGTGTGTGCAATGGGCAGAAAGGGGTCACGGGTAGTACCTAGGAACAGCCCCAATTCCTAAGAAATAAGCAGAGGAAGAGAAGCCAAAAAAGGGAAACAGAGAAAGTGCTCAAAGAAGGAAAAAGGAAACAAGGAGAGAATACCACAGAAGGAAAAAAAGAAACCTTTCAAGATTCAGACTGGTACTAAACATTGCTAGCTCTGTGTATTGCCATAGGTATACAAGCCAAAGGTATACATTAAAAACTACAACCTTAGAGATATTACAAAGCTGTGTGTGCCAAAAAAGACAACACCAGGGATGTATTTTGCTTGTTAATACTACTGTCTGCCAGCAAGTATGTAACATACAGTATGTTACAAATATATGAACAGTTTAGAGAAAAAGAAATACAGATTTTTAAATATACAAATGATTTTCAAGCTCACCAAAATAGGAGGTAAGATAAAGGTATAAAGAGGTAAGATAAAGGTAAGAATAAGGCAAAATAAAACCAAATAAAATACCATTTTTCACCTATCCAGAGATCAAAAAGTGAAATACTATGCTGTGTTGAACACCTGCCATCCCCTGTGAGACTAAGCAGCCCCAGAGAGTGGCTGCCCCTTCAGCCTTGTCTTGAAATGACAAGACACATGGAACATACCTGAACCTGACCCACAACCTGTAGTGAAACCCAGCCACCCACAGCCAATACGAAGGCCCAAGAACAATAAATAAATGCTTGTTATTGGAGGCCACTGAAAATTTGAGGTTTGTTAAGCAGCATTATCATAGCAAAAGCTAACAAATACACAAAGTGTGAGAAACAGGAATTCACACATTATTAGTGGGATATAAGCTGCCACAAACTGTGTGTGACAGTTAGTTGCCTAATCAAAGTCAGCCTCTCATTTTCTCTATCATTGGCATCTCTTACCTTGCATGCTTCATAATCCTTCCGGATATAGTGGAGATGTATCAACCAGTTCTGCTTCTCCAAAATAGGAAACTCTGGAGCTGGGCAGCATAGTGTGACAAAACAAATGGCACAGTCATTGTTAGGTTTCTCCTTTATCATTGTCCTCATGGCTAAACTAACCACAAGCAATTGTATTATTACATTAAACTCTTCATGCTGCTGACCATAAGAATACAGTGCATCAAAAATGTATAGGCTATTAAACTAAAATACCTGTCCTACTATTACATGTGAAATATATGCTTCCTTCACTTTTTGTAGCTTATAATATCAGTTTTTCAAATGATAACTTGGCCTAAAAAAAATAAAATAAAATCATTCTTTGTTTTTCCTCCTCTTTCTCCTCCCCCCCTCCAGTTATGGAAGGTGAATATGAAGACTTTCTAAAGGATATTGCACAAATGTTACTAACAGAAAATATAATGTCACATCTGATCAGAGGATGAAAGATATTTTATAAAGTTAGACACAGTCTTACCAATAGCTCAAATGTGAGTACTATTGCCCAGGAGTGGAAAAAAAAAATCTACTTGAGTCATTGAAAATGATTCATGATAGAGAAATCATAAAATGAGTTACTTGCCCTTTGAATTCAAAAGTTTAAATATAAGTAAAAATTCATTACGAAATTACTTTTCTAGAGTTTGAACTCTAGACAACAGCAGTTCGATGCCCAGCCCGAGCTGAGCTGCTGCTGAGCTGCCAACAGGTGGCAGGATGGCTCAGCTAAAAAAAAAAAAGGAAATTACTTTTCTGTAGGAACAAGTAGAAGGATTCGCACCAACCTCAGGATAGTGGTGACCTCAAGGAAAGGAGAGGGAGGAATGGGATTAGGAAAAGATATGGTGACATCAACTCTTTAATGCTTTATTTCTAGAAAAAAATAAAAGCTCAAAAGTATACATGGCTAAATATTTTTATTTTTATTTATTAAATATAGCCAGTGAATAGTACATGGGTATTCGTATTTTTTAATGCAGTTTAATACATGTTTGAGATATTCCCTGACTTTTAAAAATATAAAATAAAGGGTACAGCAGAGGAAGGAGAAATGATTTACAATCATTTGTAATCATTCTGTTCCAGAATCTTAGAAGATACAGCAACAGAAAACCTAAGACTTATATGTCCATAATATGTATGACAGGAAGAAAAAAAAGCTTATTGTGACTCAGAGTCAATGTTGCTAGAACACAAAAATTAAGAAGTGATGCTGCTTACTCCTTTCCAATAATAGGGAATATTAATGGAATTTGTAAGATGAAATCATGGATAAGATTTTATATGCCAGAAAAAAAAGGATAAAATTTTAAGCAACTGACTCTTCACCTTCCAATTAACCACATTCTGAGTGGAACTAGCCTTCTTCTAGGCAACAAAGGTGTATTTGAGATTCTTTGATGACTTTTGTTTTCTTCTCTTCCTTTAAGCCCCATCAATCATCAGATCCTAGCTAT